TTACTTTTAAAATCAGTTCTTTAACCAATCTTGAAAGAGCCGATTTTAAAAGTTAGATTTTTAAAATCGGTTGTTTTATAACCGATTTTAAAAGTCTAGATGTGGGAAAAAAATAAACTGGAACGGGCCGTTCCAGTCCTTGGATAACGGCCCGTACTCCTTGGAGAACGGCCCGTTCTCCTTGCAGAACGGGCCCTTCCAGTTTCGAACCCAAACTGGACCTACAACACAGAGACGAGAAATCATGAAAAAATGAAAAGAAACAGAAGAAGAAGAAGACGAAAATGAAAACGAAAACGACAACGAAATTTACCTTATTGGAGACTTTAGAAAATGAGAGCTTCAGGGAAAGATTGAAGAGAATGACAATGAAGGGGAATATAAAAGATTTTTGACGATACTTTATTTCAGAACCGATTTTGTATACTACATACAAAATCGGTTTTGAAATAACTGATTTTAAAAGTAGTACTTTTAAAATCGATTATAAAAGAACCGATCTTAAAAGTGACACTTTTAAGATCGGTTTTTTTATAACCGATCTTAAAAGTACTTTTAAAATCGGTTATATTATAACCTAAGATCGATTATTTTGTAACCGATCTTAAAAGTGGCACTTTTAAGATCGGTTCTTTTATAACCGATCTTAAAAGTACTTTTAAGATCGGTTAAATTTCAACCGATCTTAAAAGTGTTCATGTTATTTACAAAATTGTCACCGCGTCACTTTTAAGATCGGTTACCTTATAATCGATCTTAAAACTTCGATTTTAAATCCAATTTTTGCACTAGTGATTTTTTTATTTCTTTTTGTCAATTAAAACACTACTGCTTAATTAAGCAACATAACTTACGTGTAACAACCACTTGACATACTCTAATGTTGAAAATTGAGAAACAATGTAGTTTAATGTTTAAGAACTCCAATAAGATCTGGCAGTAGAGATGCTCTTAGATCTTTGAAGCATGTTGAAATTCAACTTACTATCATATCAACACAAGTAAATAAGTATCAACTCCATTATAAGTAGACTGACTTGATCAAACATGAGACAACCTTAATTATCACATTAATCATAACCACTTATGTTTGACACAACACATATTGTAACAAATCATCCACCTATGATAACAAAATTCTCACTTTCGTACATCTCTCACTCTAAGACCTAGACCTATAAAATATAACCTTACATCATAGATATTCGAGTTCCCTTTTACCTTACTGTTATTCTATCATATTGCTTAGTGACTTAGGTATTTAAGTGTTTGCACGTGGTTGCACCCTTCTCTATCAACCTTGTTCCATTATGTTGTGAGTGTAAGGGTGGGTATATGGGCTGGTTCAACTCGCTTAAGGTCTTATCCATGAAGTTCACATTTTTAACCGGTCGATTAAGTCTTACCTGTGAAATAAATAATCTTTTTTCTTAGTTTGTATTCATCCCACAAAACCCGCAATTAAACAGACAAGCTCGTGGGCCTAATAATAAAAAAATTGAAAAAAAGTTTTTTTTTCTTTCCTTTTTTTATGCTAAGAAAAATATTAGAGAAGTATATAAAAAAATATTTCATAATATAAACATCAAACAATCTTAAAAAAATAAATAAAATTATGAGTCTTAATATATAAAGGTTTATACATTTAAACTAAGACATTAAAGTATTAACATGTCAAGTTTCTACATTTAATCTAAAACATATTTATGCATAAAAAAGAAAACATATTAAGGTAGCAAAAGTAGGATATATTTTTTAATAGAAAATGTATTGAATTCAATACTTATTACTTATACTTATTTATTTATTAAGAAGATATTAAAATCACTCATATTTTATATTCTCTCATAAATTTAGCAAAAACAACAATTTTCTTAAATGGATCAGTCCGTGAGATTCGTTGATTAAATTAACAAAATCTATGAGCTTTTTGAGCTAAGATTAATTTCTCCTATAATCATGTGGATTTTTATTTTATTTTTAAATAAGCACATTAACTATGTAGGTCAATCTGCATACTTGGACTCATATGTCCATCCCTAATTGCAATGATTGTTTTCATCCTCCTCACCATTTGAACATTGTTGTTATATGTGAGAAATCTCTTTTGCTCTTTTGACTTTTGATGGAATGGTGAACACTCATTATCACAAGGTTGTCAATTATGTTCCTAGGCCAATACCTCCTCCATTGTTAGAAGATAGGGTTGAAACTTTTGTTACTCTTGACTCAAGTGTGACACTCTTTGTGCTTGCTTCTAATAGGAGTGGATATAGGTCCTTCATGTCACCAAATCAAGAAGAGAGTATGCTTTTTTAATCCATCCACGATATTTGCGTTGCATATATATATGAATTAATCACCTATACACTGTCAGTGTAAAATTTTTTTTACATTGACAATCAATTATATCTTTTAATTGTGTCATGCCACTATTAAAAATAAATATGTTTACAATGACATGACACAATTAAAAAATATAATTGGTTGCCAGTGTAAAAAAAACTTTACACTAGCAGTGTATAGGTGATTAACTCTATATATATTTCAAAAGAAAATAGTCTCACATTGCTTGAACCACTTAGTGTAGAGCCTTTATATATCAAAGTGTTCCTTACACTCCCAAAGAGGCAAGTAATGGGTGGTGGGCTCGCGCATGTAAAAATGGGCCTTGTGAGCCCGTTATATTTCAAATCTGTTGATTTGCCTCCTCCTCTGAGCATGTAAAAATGAGATCCGAAAATGACCTTTTTTCCTTTGAGGTCAGTGTCATCACATGCCTCAGGGTGTTTCAGTTCGTAAGGTAAGAACAAAAAACAAAAAATACGGTGTCAAAAATTAATGATCTTGGAAGGAAAAACAATTCTAAATTTTTTTTTTCCTTTAAAGTTGATCGTGAATGGTCGCATGCTTTTTTTTTTTTCAAGCAAAAATGACATCGTCACATTTCCAATTGAGTATTGTACATTCTTAAGGGGATAAAGGCATATAAAATAAAGAAAAAATGATAAATGTAATTAATAATATGATATAAAAAAGTGAAGAAAAAAAAATAACAAGAAGTGATTATAATCCGAGTGATTTTACACTCAAGTCTCTTAAACTTGTAGTCAAAAGTTTGAATCGTGATTGGTATGTTTGAAAAACAAACCTTGTTGAAAGAAAACAACTCCCTTATGAGTGCAACATATCTTTCAGAGAGTATTAAAAATTCCAGATGAATGATCATGATATTCCTTTGCAATTATATGCACACAAAAAATATGAGAAGGAAAAAAAAATAGAAATAGAGTAATCACATTGAAACATGAAATTTTTTTACTAGTTTCTAAACATATTAAAATTAAAAATATTGTAGTGTAAATATAGATATATTTTGTACGTAATGGGGTGTTAAAAAAACCAAAAGAACCGAACCGAATTTAAAACTAGACCGAACCACTTTAAAAAAATCAGAACCAATTATAATAAAACGGAACCGGATTTAATTTTTAAAATAAAACTAAAAAAAATGAACCTATTTTTTTTAAAGGTTTGGTTCACTAATATATTTGGATTATGGCATTATACCTCGCTCGGACTCGGAGACGGAACAACACTCTCACACCCACTCTATCTCTCGCACTCTCTCTGTGACTCTGTCTCTCGGACTCGCACTCTCTCTGTCTCTCGCACTCACTCTGTCTCTCGCACTCTCGCACTCTCTCTGTCTCTCGCACTCGCAGCAATCTCGCTCATTCTTGTGAATCACTTAGGCAAGTCTACAACTCTACTTCAGCAGCTCAACTAGCAGTTTTGTTCCTCTCCCTAGGATTAATTTCCATTGGAGCTGGTTGTGTCAGACCTTGTTCCATAGCCTTTGGAGCAGATCAATTGACAATTAAAGACAGATCTAATGATAAGAGGCTCTTGGATAGCTACTTTAATTGGTATTATGCCTCAATTGGAATATCAACTGTGATTTCATTGAGTATAATTATGTACATTCAAGAAAATGTGAGATGAAAAATTGGGTTTGAAGTACCTGCTATGCTAATGTTCATATCAGTTGTTAGTTTCATTCTTAAAACCAATTTAAAACTGGTTTATTTTTTAAAACCGATTCAAAAATTGGTTTGATTGTGAAATTGGTTTTAAACCGATTATAAACTTGTTTATTAAAGTAATTCAATTTTAAAATAGTTTGTTAAAGTGGTTCACATAATTTATAAACCAGTTAATTTTATTAAAATGGTGTGGTACAATTTGGTGCAGTTTTTTTTAAAAACCAAACCATGCACACCCCTTCGTAATGAACTCTTTCAATTATTTTCAATAGAAAAGTTTTTTTAAAAAATACTTTTTCTCAAAAATCAACTATATCCACCGTAAAGTTATTTTTTTTTATAAATCACAAATATTTTTTTTACTAGAAGCGATCCTAATCATAAAATTAACTTTGAATAGGAAAAATATTTCTCTAACATATTATGTGTTTCACAAAATTCAGTCACTTAATCTTGATCACATAAAACTAATGTGCTCCTACATGTTTATTTGATATTCTAATTGACAAGAATTGAAAAGTTGGTCCTATTGATTTACTTTTCTCGATATAAAAAATTCTCAATTTTTACTATTTGAGTTTTAAGTCTTTTCTATTATTTAAAATAAATGTTTATATAAATAATTTTTTCTCGTGAGTTATTACTTGTTAACATGTATATATGAAAGAGAATATAAAATATTGAAGAGAAATAAAATATATTTATAAGTTGAATAAATTTTTAGATAAAAACTTGCATAAAAATAAAAGTTGAATAAATTACTTTAATTTAACATAACATAATTTTTTTTTAATAAATTACTTAAATTTAATATAAAATAATTTCCGTAATATTTCAAAAAGCTTACCGCTAATAACTAATATATGACTCATTTTAAAAAAAATAAAGCGAATTGCTTTTCTAAAGAACATTAAAAATACTCTTATGAAAACAAAATGAATTACTAATTCTTATGAAAATGACGAAACATGTTATACAATACTCGAAGGAAAAGGTTTTGGGTCGCGGGAACAAAACGTTTATTATATGGGATGTGCTTGAAGTTATCGTGTTTGTCTCTGTAGTCTGTAATCAAATTCAAAACTTGAGGCTAACTCTTCACAAATGGATGCCCATGAAGCCAGAATCTTGCTCGGTTTTCCTCCCAATTCACGTCCAACTCCTTCCCAGGTCTTTTCATTTTCTCTTTCCCAATGTCTAGGGTTTTTCATTCTTACAATCGCGATTGCCAAATCAAGATTCAATTTCAGTTTTTGAGCGCCACCCACTATTTTACCATTTATCCCTAGCTCCTTTTCCTTAATTCTCAGTGGGTTGACTTAACAACAATAATTAAAAATAAAATAAAATTAATCCTAAAGTAGTGTTGAAATTGGACCATGATCATGTACTTTGCCGTTTTCTGATTGGTTCTTTTTGTTTAGGTAAAATCAGCTTACAAAAAGAAGGTGTGGGAATCTCACCCTGACCTATTTCCGTCTCATGAAAAGCCTCTTGCTGAGTCTAAGTTTAAACTGGTGAGCTGTTCATTTAATTTTTCATTTGCCGACACAGTAGCATTTCTATGACTCAATGGGAGGTGACTTGATATGGTGGTGTTAGACAATGACTGTAAAACATTTGTTATCAGCCTAGTATTTCCGTGTGTTTCATAACTTCAGAGCTTGTTCATTGTAAAGTGTATATTGATACGTAGAGACTATGATTTTGTTTACAACTGGCCAACTGTGTGGTGAATGAAGATAATGGTCACTAAATCTGTTTTAGAGTTTAATATGCCAAGGCCATAATTGCCAATTTGTCACGTTATATGATTTTAGGTTGAGAAAAAATGTTATCATAAAACTTGCACATAGGGTTTTTTTTTTTCTTCCTTTAACAAAGGAACAGATTTAAATTAATTTAGATTGGCTTTTCCTCTGGTCACCCTCTTTCCCCCACCCCATTCTTTCTCTTGGCATTGGGAGGAACCCCAATGTCTGGCTGACTAAATTGAACTAATAGTTGGTTATCTTGAAGCGGGAATGGCACTTTCTTTGGCCATTGTCATATTCTCCTTTGTTAAACAACTGAGCTCTTCTGTTGTGGTGCAGATTTCTGAAGCTTACACATGCCTGCAATCTGGTATTTGTTCAGATCCCCTGTACTTGTAGAATTTGCAAACTCTCCGTTGAAAGAACCCTGAAATTGTGCTACTGCTTATAAGGGTTTTCATTTCTTTATATTTGCCTTGCCACCCTTTTTAAGTACTGAATAAATTTCATTACACAGGTGGGAGAGAAACTTCAAGTTCAGGTAAATTTGAATTCCGTATACTCCTATGCATCATTTAAAACTAATCCTTCTGTTTTTCTTTTCCTTATTTAAACGTGGCATAATTCTTGTTCAGTTGAATATTCACATGTTGTGAGAACTGGATTTCCAAGGGCTCATGGAGGAAGAAAAAATCATACTATGATTAAAGTTCCATTCATGTTAATCATTCTGGGAACTGTTGCGCTTGGAGGACTTAATGCTTCAAGGTGGCTTACAGGCAATCTTTTTGTTGATTCTTTTTCATTTTTCGTATATTTTACAAAGAAACTAAGTAGTTGTTCGTTTTCATAATGACATCCTTTGTGCTACTGTCTCACAGGGCTTACAAAAAACAAAAGGCTGATAACCCTTCACATAATCCATTTCTTCCTTGATTTCTCCTCCATCAAGCGAGTAACTAAATATTTGTTGTAATTGGTGGAAAATATTGTACCATACATAGAAAGGTAAATGGTGAAATTAGTGATTATTATTAGGCTCAATTACACTTTTGATTTTTCAAATTTTAATTTCTTAATTTCACTTTCTCAATTTTATAAAACATACAACTTTAATCATCTCGTTATTATTAACATTGTAATGTTGATATGACAAATTAATATTTAAATGTATTTTTTTTCTTTCTAAATTTCATTGTAAGTTTTATTTTTATTTCATAAAAAGTAGTGAAATGAGATTAAAAAAAATAAGAATTAAAAATATAATTTAGTTTAAATTTTATTAAATATTAATTATCACATCCTTTGCTCAATATCTAGTTATAACTACTGACATAATTTTAATGATCAATCGGTGAAATTTCAGCGAAGAGGTTAAAATTGTGAATTTTATAAAATTAGGGACTAAATTGCGAAATTGAAAATTAGAATATCAAAATTGCAAATCAAATAATACTTGGGGACAAAAAGTGAATTATAAATAATAATAATAATCTAGATTATCTCCTCAAAAGTCATGTAAAGAGTCCAACATTTGAGATTATCTAGACACCAATTAGGTCATTAAGCTTATTAGGTCTAATAGATTGTTTTATTTTAAATAATAAAAAATATTATTATATCAAATTTGTTATAATATACTAATTTTATATATTTATTTATTATTTTAAGTATTAAACATGTTGACTTACATAAAAAGTGAGGTTTATAAGTTTATTGAAAGATAAGTTTGTCATTTAGATGTCTTATTATAAAATATATTTTAAATAAATTATTATTATGAATGTCATATTAGTTCTTAAAAATGTGCTTATGTCATAACAAGTCAAATTCAATTTTTATAAAACTTAATATTTAATTCCACTTTTATTTTAGTGTTAAATTTATATTTATATACAAAAAGTGATTTTCTATTTTCGTGTATATAATTTTAGATTGTTTTATTTTAAATTTTAAATAATAAAAATAATAATATTAAAAATTAACTATTTTCGTAAATTTAATACTTAAATTTAAGATTTTAAAGTTTAAGAATTAAATACAACACTAATTAATTCTGTGAGACCCCTTTCTCTCCTTTTTCCTCCTTCACTTTCCCTCACTCATTCTCTTCACTCTCCCATCTTCTCAACTCTCCCTTTTTCTCTATAGCTGAAGTTGTGGACTCCTAGAGACGGAGATTCTCGAACGCAAGCCGTGTGGAGCTAGCCGGAAGCCGAATTCCTTCTCCATTTCTTCTCCTTCTCCATTGTCTTCTTCCCGGAGCTCGGAAATCCTTGTGCCGAGGTAAGGGAAGTTAGTTTTACTGCGTTTTTGGCTGAAATGAGTCTAGGAACTCATTGTGATTGCTGATGATTGATGGTTCTTGGCTGATTTGGTGAAAAAGGGGTTTTTAGGGAATTTCGGGGTTTGAAGAAATTTTGGGGTTTTTAATGAATTGTGTTTGCATGTTGGAAATGAGGCGTTTTTATTGATATTTGATGAGAATGGAAGCTTTTGGATGGTTTGCATGTTGGATTCCTGGTGTTTTTCGCAGGTTTTGATGAGATTTTCGAAGTAGGTAAGGGTTCCTGTTTGAATTTGCGTCGGGCTCAGTTCTTCGCGCCGGGCTCGAATTGAAAAGGGGAATTTCTGGGGTGAATCGCGCTGGGCTCGGGTAGAACCACACCGGGCGCAATAGACATCTGTAGGTCTCTGGTTGGGAATTGAGCCGGGCGCGATTTTTAACGCACCGGGCGAGCATTTGATTTTCAGAATTTGACTTTATATTCTTCATGAAAGTTGTAGCCTTGGATGTTAGCTTTCCAATGGCGCTGGAATCACCCAAAAAGGAGTTTTAGAACTCTAGATATGGCTGTTTTAGTGAAGAGGGGTCGAGCTGATAGCTTTGTTTATAACTGTTGCAGTTTTATCGTTTTTAACAAGGTAGATGAAGAAATTAGGACTTGGTGTCTTCATGAGAGTTTTAGTAAATCTTCTTATCTTTCATATGAGATGAGGATGAGTATGGTAGGAGTATGTGAAGTTATATGCTGAATTGCTGATAATATTGTTTTATGCTGAACTAAGCCGAAATTGAGGAACATGATGCGATGACTAGCTGAAATTGCTGTTTGAGGATGTTGAGCTGTGTTAGGTGTATATTGCTGTAAGATGCTTAGAAGTGTTGTAAGACGATAGGCGGTACTATTAAGTTGAGTCGTGCTGAATGTTGTTTATGCTGATTAATGTTGCCAATGCCGTGTGATGAAAAGTTGTGTTGTGCGGTATGTTGTTAATGATGTAACACTGAGTTGTGATATGTGATGCTAATGCTAAACTTTATTGTTTGAGTCAAGCTGAATTATATGCTGATAGTTGTTGAATTATGCTGAAATTGCTGAGTTGAGATGTAATTGATAAATATGTTGTGCTGACTAGATGTAAATGCTGAAAAATGATGTTAAGCTGTAATAGATGTATCTCGCTATGCTGAGCTGGGCTGTTATTGAAGATTTTAAATGCTGATTTATAATATGGTTGTGCTCTAGAATGATGAGCCGAGTTGTGAGTAGTAAGCTGTGTTGAATACTACTTAGCTGTGCTGTATGCTGATTTTGGTGTTGTGTTGTGCTGTGAGCTGTTTTGCTGTGCTGTTTATTGCTGAGCTGTATGCTGTGTTTAGCCACTATTGTGGTGCTGTTATAGCCGCTAAGTCGGTGTTGTGCTCCGTGCTGATAGGAGCTGTTGTAGGCCGTAAGGCTAAGCTGTGGTAGGAGATCTCCGAGCTGATATGCGTGACGACGCATTGTGTGTTTACTACTATTTATCGATGTGTACTGTTGTTTACGGTTGTTATTGCTAATTGATGTTCGGATAGCGGTAGCTGTTTACTATTCTTAAATTTATATATTTGTATGTTGTTTCTTTTCACTAGCTTACCCTTGTTGTTTCCATGTGGTTTGGACTGTGATGATCATACTACGTATGGGAGCAGAGCAGGGATAGGATGGTTGCTTACGGCAGGTCTGCAGCTGGCAGATAGAGCTTGATTCTTGTGGATGTCTTGGTGTTTTAGCTACTAGGTGTAGTAGCGATTGATGTATTTTGTACATTTGAATCTAGTCAGACTTGGGCCATGTATATATGTATATTCTAGACACTATATATATACACTTGTTCCTTTCTGTCCGGTTTTCAGGTGTACTGTGTAGTGTGTAGTGACCAGCCGGGTCGTTACAAATTCAATATAATTTGTAGTTCTTAAATACTTTTAAATAAATATAAAAGTATAAAATACCTTAACTCCATTAATTATTATAAAAAGTTTTTAAATATTATATTATATTTTAGGGTTTAACTTATAATAGTTAAACATATTAAATTTAGGTTATGTATTATCAACTAACGTCTAACTTAGTAAAGTTTAGTTTAGGATTTAGAGTAATTCTACTCTAAGTTCGAAGTCTAATTTATTTTTTATTGAGCAAGACATTAAAATTGTTAGGTGTACTTATAAAAAAAATTATATAATTTTTTTGTTTTTTTACTTTAAGAAGAAGTACTTCGGGAAGCCCAACTTTTCAGTTTCTCAAATAAACATTTAATAGCCCACTAGTTTTATATTTTATGTGGCGCCGTAAAGTAACTGAGTTTTAACCCAAGCGTGTGGTTCAGTAGTAGGGGTTGATCCACGTTTAAGCAATGTCAGGAGTTTGAATCCTATATTGTGTATGCAGCTGCGTTAAATCTTGGGCCAGCTATCCTACCCTTTGAAGTGCTTCCAACGTAGTGAAGAGATTAGTCACTGCTGTCGACAGTGGATACTCCATGAACCAACCTAAAAAAAAAGTAACTGGGTTTTGTGAAACACGATATGTTTCGAGAAATATCTTTTGGTTTCAAAACTATCGTTACAAAGAACCAAGAGTTCATTACCTATAAAATATATCTATATTTACATTCCAATGATTTTACTTTTCAGTGTGTTTGGAAAACGATGAATTTTTTCAAATTTCAATGTTTATACTATTTTCTTCAACTTTCTTTTTTGGTGAATATGATTGTAAAGGAATATCATGATGGTTAAATAAGATTTTTAATCTCCTTTAAAAGATATGTTAGCAGTCCCAAGTGAACTCCAATTCCAACAATGTGGTTTTTCGAAAACACCAATAAAGATTCAAATTCTTGACTACAAGCTTAAGATATTCAAACCTAAAATTATTCGAATCAATCATTTATTGGGATTTTTTTCCTTCACTTTTTATATCATATTATTAATTGTATAATTTGTATTTATCAGTTTCTCTCTCTTTTTTATTATATCTTCCGTCAAAGATGTACAATACTCTATTAGAAATGTGAAGACATCATCTTTGCTTGGAAAAAAAAAAAGCATGTGAACATTCACGATCAAGTTTAAAGGACAACAAAATTGATTTTTTTTTTTTTTTGTTGAGAAAATATGAATGTTTGGTTGTCTAAAATAATGATTATTTTTCCTTCAAATAACCTTAATTTTTCTCACTATATTTTTCATTCCTGCCTTATAACTCTAATATCTTTATATTCAACTCCAAGCGTGTGGTTCAGCGATAAGGGTTGATCTACGCTTAAGCAAAGTCAGGGGTTCGAATCCTGTCTTGTGTATGCAGCTGTGTTAAATCTTGGGGCCAATTATCCCACCCTTTGAGGTGCTTCTAATGTAGCGAGGAGATTAGTCACTGCTATCGGCGGTGGATATTCCAGGGACGAACAAAAAAAAATATTTATATTCACTACAAAGAAAAATGTCTCTATAAATAAAATAAAATAAAATAGTATTGTAATATTATTATTTTTAAAGAAGGTAGTTATTATTTTTTAAAGAAGACAGCTATTTTTAAAAAAGACAATTATTATTTTTATTTTTTTCTCATTTTATCCTTAAATATATATTAGTGAATAAAAATAAAATATAACATAAAAGTATGATTGTCTTTAAAAAAAAGGTGAACACCAAAAGAAAATATTGTCTTTATATATCATTATAGATTTCAAATTATGCAATCCATGATATTTATCTTTTTTCTTTCTTTGTTTTCTATTTATTTCTTCCACCTCATCGACAATTAAATACTCATTTTCCTGCTCCTAAATGTTTGTGTAAAAAAAACACATTTGGTTGCAAGTAAGAAAACATGACTTTTTACATTGAGATTAAAATTTTATTTTTAAGCTCAACCACAAACTTATTGAACTATCTTTCTAGCTTCAAAAAGCATTATTTGATTCATTGGTGAAAGATTTGGTGTAACTACTAAGAGTATGTTTGGTTTGCAGTTTAGGCACACAAACGGACATTCAATTCTTATGGAATGTTTGTATCCATTTGTTTGATAGTTTTTTTATACGTTATGTTGAACTTTATTATTTTCAAAATGTACGTTGCATCCAAAGTAACACTTATATTATTTTTTCGTTGAACGAATAATTTTCATTGAACGAAAAATTTTCGTTAAACGAAAATTTTCCGTTAAACTTAACTTTTTCAACTTAAATCAAACACACACTAAGAGAACAATCAAAGTTAATAAGCTTTTTTTTCAGCAAGTAACTATGGATATCCTTTTAGCACACTTCTAGTACTTCTTCAAGATAAGACTTCAAGTAACCAAAAATTTGAGTCATCTATTCTCTAACGCAAATGACCATTATAACGTGGCGTTTTTGGATTCCGTCGCCATTTTTCATCCGTTATTTTTCATTGTATGGTGTTATCCGTCGTACCCGCCATGGTCATGGTTTGGTGATGGTTTGTAACACTTATGGAGGAACTTCACCCAACTCTATTTTTTTAATAGTTTCAATTTTGTCCCTCTATAATTTTATGTTTTAATTTGATGATCAATAATTTAAAAAATGTCAATGTAGGACTTTCCGTCCAAATTTTACAAACGGTGTCAAATGTAGATGACGTGGATGCCACGTAGATACATACGTGGCAAGTTTTCATAGTCCTTCTTTAATGAACCTGGAACGGCCCGTTCTGATTTTAAAACGGGTCGTTCTGATCCCACTCGTTGTGTGTTAATTTTGTAACTGAAACGGCCCATTCCAGATGCAAATGTAACACACAATGAGTGAATTAGAACAACTCGTTCTCTGGTTTCAGAACGGGCCGTTCTGGTTTAGGGTTTAGGGTTTAAGAACGACCTATTCTGAATCCAGCACGGGCTGTTCTGGAATGCCAACCAGGATTGATGTTTAAATTTAAGTGTTACATTTCAACAAAATGCTCAACAAAATATAGCAATATGGTTCAAAGATTGAAAACAAAAATTCATAACATAACATAAATTCAAATATTAAAATATACACCAGAGTTGATCTTTTCATTCTTATTTTTCATCATTGCCCATATAAATAATAAATCAATGAGCCGCCACGACCTAGAAGAGTAGATGCAATAAACTTATGCATAATTTTAATGACAGCATGACGAATGTAGATGAATTGCATTAACCAGCCTCCCATTGTGTATGACTTGTTACAACCCTCCAAAACATGTATGAATTAAATGATCTTGGATTTTTTTCCCTTATGGTTTGAAATCCAAAATTACCATTAAATTCTTCCAAATTGAGACAATACTTTATATTAAAAAGTTTAAAGAAAATCAATCCTGGTTCACAATTTGCCCCGATTAAAATTTCAATATGGAGAGAACTAAGATATTCAAGAACAATCCTTGAATTTGGAACGACCCGTTTTGAAACCAGAACGGTCCGTTCCGCTTGCATTCTTTGTATGTGTTTTTTGAATCTGGAACGGGCCGTTCCAGATACAAAATTAACACACAAGGAATGCAAGCGAAACGGGCCGTTCCAAATCATTAAAGAGGGAGAGGAGGCATGTCACTTGTGCATTTACGTGGCATCCACGTCATCACCTTTAACGCCGTTTGTGAAATTTGGACGGAAAGTCCCAAATTGACATTTTTTTAATTATTGGAGACTAAATTAAAACAAAAAATTATTGAGGGACGAAATTGAAACTATTAATTATTATAAGGGACCAAATTAAGTGTTTTGAAAAAAAAAATACCTTTTAAGAGATTTTCGAGACTTCAAACATTTTGTATTTGTACTTTATCTATTAGTCTCTTGTCAATGTCGAAACATAGAGAAACTTAGAATTCACTTGTCTTCTCTCTGGTGATCCTCCTAAATTACTACCAAACAACTCCAAGGAGCCTTCTCAGGCGACCACCCTTGCTAGCGACTTGAGCTCCAGCAAACTTTTCCATTGAAAAAATCCAGTGACCCATAACAGTTTTTTTCTTCTTTCCATTTTTTTTTTCGGTTTGTTCATCATTTCTTCAAATGTTCTTCATCTTTTTTTTTTTTTGGTGACTATTCTTGTTCTTTATCTGATATATGTTTTTGTGCTCTATTTTTTCAACATTTTAGAATTTAGTTCTGTGATTTTTAAAATTTTAAAATTATGTTTGTCTGCTATGTTGTTCCTTCCATTCTTTTTTTCTTTTTTTTTTTATATATATGAATTTTTATACATCTATGCTATTTTTTTTGACCGCTATAGGCCACCACATCATCCAACATGTGTTTATGGCAAATTTATTGCTCACCATCATAGACTGTTATTGATAACCTTGCTATCATCACATCCACCTTCCCCATCTGCTTGGAGTGGAAGCTCAAACAAACCATGGTTGTATGCAGTTGTAGGAGTTGTTGGAGGTATTGCATTAATGTTTATTCTTTGTGCCATCATTTGGGGAATGCTCTATATCAAGGGTAATAAAAAGAATGATGATTTTGTGATTGTATTTGATAGTTTAGTGGCTGTGGCTATTGAGATACCACAAGAGAAGAAGATGGAAGAGTTCAAAATTTTGGCAGAAATCATATCTGGCATAGGTCGATCGTTCAAGGTGTCCATATTAAAGGAGTTGCAGAGTGCAACAAATGATTTTAGTCATAGTTGTTGCATCAAAAGGGTCAGTTTCTTAAGGTGTTTTCAACGGGGATTTGGCTGCAATTAAATTGATAGACGGTAATGTGCAAAAGGAATCAGACCTTTTGACCGAAGTGAAATCATTCTAATGTTATACGCCTTTGTGGATTAGCTTTAACGAGGGTTATTGGTGTCTTGTTTAATTGTATGCTGCTAATAGAAACTTGAGTGATGGGATCTACATCAATGCAAAGTTTTTTAGTTGGACGCTAATAATGCATATTGCATTGAATTTGGCCACAAAACTTGACTATCGTCATAGTTTCTCTTCTCCACTTGTACACAAGGATCTGATTTTGAAGAATGATACAATTTTAAATAGTAATTTCAGGGCAAAGATTGCAAACTTTGGGCTTGCCAGGTCAAGGGAAAAAGGACGAGGGTGAGAAATAAGTCATGACAAGGCATATAGTTGGGACAAGAAGGTACATTGCTCCAGAGTATTCGGAAAATGGTCTTATGCCTACAAAGCTTGATGTCTACAGATGTGGGGTTCCCATGTTGAAAATGCTCATTGGAAAAGCAGATGCTTCTGATATTTACTAACATGAATTTGTTGGATGTTTTAATGAGTTTGTGGGTAGAATGATAAGTAGTTGCATAAAGAAAGATCCAGTAAGTCGCCCTAACATGCACGAGAATGAGAGGCCTGATTGAAAGGGAAAACAGGGGATTTGTTTTGGTTAGGATTATGAATATAATGGAAATGGGAACATTAGGTTATTAAATTAGGGAGGAGGGGCATTCTTTTTAGTCCATTTACGCATCATCTGACGTGTAATTTGATGGGACAAGTACGCATTTAACAAGCCACGAAAGCAACTTCATCTCATTAAAGTCTCATTATAGTAACAGAAAGTGATCATATTCAAACAATCGGGGACTAAATTGTGTAATGCAATACATTTAGAGACCAAAGTTAAACGACATGCCACTTTCAAGGACCAAATTGTTTGCTATCTTTTCAATATATCCATTCAAACAATTTTCATGCTTCTAAACAAAACTCTTGAACTAGCATTCCCAAAAGGAAATCATTTTTTTCATTTTCAATCCTTTCAAAATCAGTTCTAAACAAACTATAAGCTTGTCTCAAAAAAATGTATAATTCGGCCTAACTGATTGCATACTTACAATCAGTAAAAGTATATATGCTGTCTCTGTGTCTGGGTTTTTCCCAAAAAAGCACCTCATTTTGATCTTACTTGCCAAAAAAAAAGACAGGCTGCCACTTTCCCACCACTGACTATTTGCATGCAAGCATACATGTCAAGCAAATATCAGATAGATGAAAAGCATACCATCAGATAGCAGACTCAGCAGCGTATATAGGCAGAAATCATCTGTCTTCTGAAATCAAAAATCCCTCCAGCAAGCATATAGTAATGCACAAAAACATATGTCTTGACACCGTTCATGATTCATCTATGTCAGGTGAGCTACTATATATATTCTTTTATGTTGGGTTGTGACTGTAAAATAACCAACATTTGTATCAGATTTGATATACATGAACACCAAAATTACTATCTGCATCATCGCCTTTACTCTCCGCAAGCGTAATGGTAATCGGCTGCCACCCACAACAACTGTGTATAATCCATTCCTTGACATTGATTATCATCTCCAGAATTTTAAGCACATCCCCTAATACAAGCTCCTCAAGGCACGATCGCTTTATAAACAAACTGGCTTCATATCTAAGTAACAAAAAGACAAGGTTAAAAAGAGCGTGTCAAAACAAATTGATTAAAGAGTGTGTTAATGAGAAATAAATACCTGCAACGTGATACCAAAATCAATGATCTCCCTGATGATGACCGAAGAAACTGCTCAACTCTATCCCATACTGGTTGTGGGAAATCACTAGGTTGACCACTTGTATGATTGACACACTTGTAGAGCATATGATTTGTACCATGATACAAATGTAAAGCCCCAAGGACTCGTATCCCTACCCTACGTTGCTGAATTGCGAAATCCAAGGCCTTCCTAACATCAATCATCTGATACCTGGGATCCCCATAACGAATGCAACATGTTATATTCGCTTCGGAGGGTACAATCATTTGAACCTTGAGAAACTCTAGGGCTCTCATAATAACATCAATAAGACCCTCCACGTCGTAGTCAGCTCTAGAATCACCCCTGGTTTCTTGGAGATTAAGCTTCAGCCTAGGCATATCAGGGATTGGATTGGACGTAGGTTGATTTTCCCTGGAAGAAGTTTCAGAAGCAGTTGGGATTACAGGGAGGTTACATTTAGAAGGAAAGAATTCGTGAGGAGCTTTGAAAAGAGACATGGACTGTGTCCGTGCTGGTGGATTGGGCATTTGAAGAGGCAATGCTGTGCTGCTTTTTCTAACGTATTTGGGTTTGGAGTCGAGGGGGCAGAAAGGGGAGCCGCCGGCGGAGAGGGTAGCCCAGTGCCAGAGGAGTCTGGCGGCGGCGAGGCGGGGGAGGTGGGGCGGTTGGGCGAGGAGGATGTTGTAGCGTCGCATGCTGAGTTGGTGGAGAGCGTTGGAGAATTCTCTGTCGCCGGAAATGAGCAAGTAGTTGGCGGGGGCGGGATTGTCTACGGCCCAGAGCAGCATATCGACGAGGATCCTCTTGTCGGCGGAGGTGGAGGGGACGTGGTTGAGGGAAACGCCGGTGCTGGAGAGGGCGTGCTGGATGGGCCTGGGTATGCGGGTGGTGTCGCCGTAGGCGGAGATGGTGAGGGGGCCCACGTAGTTCATGTTCACCAGCGCTGTCGTTATGTTCTTTGCCACGGAGTTGGCGTTTTGGCCCTTGGGGACGCGGCACTTGTCCATGTCCCACCACACCGAAATCTTCGCCGCCGAGTATGTTGCATCGCCACCCATTCACAAACAACACATTCATTCCCTCTCTTTTTCTTGCGTCTTCTTTTAAATATACAAGAACAAGGACGGAGCTCGCACTCGCAACCCACTGTCACACTCCTTGCTGTCGCTGTAACGGACAATTATTCTCTTCACTACCGCTCACAATTACAAATCATCAGCTTTTTTAATTCACATCCAATATTACATATTTATTTAATATCAAATTAGCGTCAAAAAATACTTTGTATTTTTAAAATAATAAATAAATAAACGTGAGTAATTAATATTTATTTTGAGTAAGTCTAACATTGTAAGGGTAGTTTTTGAGTAATTAATAGAATAATCCTATTATTAATATTATAGATTAATTCGTCATTATGTGAAAAAACACTAATTATAATTTAATGTATGAAAATGAATACATGTAATATACATAGATAAATCTTGGATTATAAAAATTTATAGCTGCACATACCCAAATTTTTTATTACTATGAGAAACTGAATCTTCTTGAGTCACGAATTTAAGTTATTTTTCTAATAATATAAATAATGAAATATTAAATTAGAGTCAGTTTGATAGAGAAATGCATCTAAATGATTATTATTTTTTTAACGAGTAAACATCATTTGATTCTTGAAATATAGTAGAAGTGGTTGATAGATTCTTTAAAGATTTTTTTGTGATATTTGAATTCCTAAATTTTGACTCTATTATATAAGTTCGTCATTTTGTTATATTTAATTATTAGCTCTGTTAATTTTTTTAAACAGTCAATAATTAAGTGTTATGTTGACACCTATTGCCTCTATCAATTGCGTGTTCTCTCTACTAACCATCTAATATGGGTCATGATACAAGATTTTCATAGTTTCCAATCAGTAATGAATACTTTAAGGAAGGTTTTGATTATAATTTACATGAGCATGAGTCATTTTCTTTAAAGAAGTAAGGATATTCAATGAACAATAGTAAAATATCTTTTTTTAGAATCACTTATTGTACATGCAAATGAGAGTGAGACTGTATGCATCAAGGACTCAAAAAAATTGAATAAAAATTATTAAAGTATCATAATCAAAGGGTAATGTAATTTTGATTTCAAGTTGTATTGTCGGTATTTTTCAATTTTTGGTTTCTATTTTTCATTTAGGTATTGATACAAGAAGAATGTAGTTGTAAGTATTTAAGATAAGTGGATGAAACGACGTATAAATAATTTATGAACAATTATGATAAAATAAAACATTAACCATAACATAACTACTCAAATAACATGCATGAAGTATGGTCAAAACAAGTGATGTTTTTCATTAACAATAAAAATAAATAAATAAGAAAAGACAAGTATTGAGGAACAGGAAGGAGGTAGCTAGCAGCCTAAATAGATGAGTACAACTTTTGAACATGGGACAAGTACAAAGAATTTACATGGCTAAGGAGTGCATCTGTGCATGCATTGGACAACTTCATGAATTAGGACATTCCTTCTTAATACAAAAGATTCATACCGAGGGATTGTATACAATTACAAAAACATCAAATGCAAGGAAGATTAATGCTACTGTCTTTAGAAGAAGGGTGTGGTTCAAGAGCACACGCAAATGGTCACCCTTAAAAGTGACTAAGGAATGATTCATGTGGTTGAAATGTTTTTGAGTACCATTACGGCATTACGTGTGATGTGTGGGAAATAAAGTTTTTCAAAGTAATAACAAGCTATGGAACGTCCATGTTATGAGGGTTAATGTGACACCCATAATAACATTGATTTCTTTCAATTAATGTCATTTAAATAGCCAACTGAGAAACATTTACTTTTTTCAATTAACATGTGTAGGAAAATAAGTTTTTCAAAGTAATAACATTGACTTCTTTCAATTAAATATATAGCATGGTATAGATGCTATTGTCTTCGAAGTATTGTTAGAATTGACATTGACCAATTATCATTGCTAGAAAAGCATACTACACTGAAAAAATTGTAAAACAAACGAACGGTTAATTCCTTGAATGAAATGGTGAAATGAAAGAGGGTCAAAATTTCTCTCCAACCATATCAATTACACTGAGGAACAATCGTTCTCCCAATTTAATGAACCATTATATATTTATATTGAACAGCCAATCCCCCTAAAACTGGATGAAAAGGAAAAGTTTTCTTTCTTAATTAACCAAACATGCTAATAGGAATGCTCAACAGTTGTAAGTAACAGTGGAAGTGATCTGCGACCCAGGCAGAGTCACATATTTGTCAGAAGATTTTTTATCAAAGAACAAAAAACGATAGAGCAATTGTTCTATTAAATTGCAAATCTGATTCTTAGATGCAGGTAGGTCTCGGAGAAAATGAGAAGGCACAGCAGTTGTCGAACCATATCATTTTCAATTTTTAATTAATCTTAAATTAACACTAGTTAATCTGCGTTTCCATATCAGCTACACTAGTAACAGGTAACTCAAGAATCATCAGTCAGAGTTATAAGAGGTCCATTTGGAAGAAACAGAACCTTCACTGCACGGTCAAGCCTAGCCTATACAAGAATGAATCGATTTACTAATACTTTAAACATGAAAGTAATCAACTCTGTCAAAAAAATTATGTATGTTTCCTTCGCTCTGTTTTCTTGCTCCTTGTTTTTTCCCTCTTCTTTTGGAAGGAGGCGTTTGTGATCCTTTGGGGGAAGAAAGGATAAGACAAATGCTTTGATTTGGTTCCTGTAAGCTCTTTGTCTCTAAAAACTAGGTTGCTGCTAAGCTGGCTTTCTTCCAATATGAGATGCACTTTTTTGCCTATAAGCTATTGCAGCTAAGATGGTTTTCTTCCAACTCCAAAATGAGATATCCGCGATGAAGTGATTAAAGGTGCTTCTTCATCTATATGAGTATCAGAAATTGAATCATTCCATAAAGTCTCCTCTTTTTTGTCCATGTCATCATCTACTTTTCTCTCTGTCTGCAGCTCCTGCATTCATTAAAAAAGGCAAAGAACAAAAGCTGAACCAACAAATATGCTTCCTTAAAAATTAACATTAGCAGCAAAAGTAACAAGAAATTCAGCTGAAATCATACTTCAATGAAGAGCTGGTAAACAAAACTTAAAATATGACCACATAAAAGAGGGGAAGAATGAGACCAGATTAACAATTAGACCAAGTCTTAGCTATCTTTGGAAGGGGTTATCAACACAGAAAGCACCATAATTAGATATTCATGTGCTTTCAAACCCTAAAAAAAAAAGGGAGTGTCTGATGTGTTACGGTATGATAAAGTTCTCTTCACTGAATTTCTTCATGTCACAAGGTATGGAATGACCGTTTTCAGTCTACATTTTGGTGGTTCTGGAATGGAGTGACTTTCCAAGCCATTCATTTGTTTGATACATAGAATTATTATAATGTGTAGTGAAATCAATTTTGATCTGAATGATATAAAGTCCCTCGTGATAAAAAAAGTAGGAAGGGTAACTTCACTAATAATGTATAATGCTTGAATTTATCTTTTCTTTTATAGCATAATAACAAATCAATGTCAAAAAAGAACAAATACAGCTTTGTTTATGAGTGAGAGAGAGATGTGTATAATGTTTTGGAAAAATACTGCATATACTTTTTTTTAACCGTACTCCAAATAATATGTGTTTCACAATACTTTTTATGTATTTTAAAATTCTTTTACATATTTACGTAGTTATTATTCAAAAAAATTAACATGAGTATTCAAAATTAATTATAAGACATGAAGGTATGTCAAAACAATAAATAAATCTCATTGTACTGAGCATGGAATCGCCATTCAACAGATCTAACACGAGAACAGATCAAAACACAAATAATGTATGAATACTGATCAAACTACAAAGCAAACAAAAATTACTTAAAAGACTGACCTTTCCTGATGATTCATCTTGGACGCTTTGAAGTTGAGATGTTCGAACATCCCTGACCTTAAGGTAGTTGTAAATAACAACACCACTTAAAGCTGCCCATTAAAAATATTCATACAAAGAAACACTTAGAATAAATCCATGAAATGAATAAAATTAAACTACCAAAATGTTTTTTCAATGAAGAAACATATACCAATAGCGTAGCCAATAATATTAAGCCCAGTAATATTTGATTCAGGAAACAAGACAGTTGAAAGAGTGATAAGTATCCAGTCTTTCAAAACTCCAGCCACCCGAATAGTTACTGCCCCAGTTCTACCAATCACTAAGAATGTGGAAAGATTCAATGCCAAAGCACAAAGAGCATTTGAGAAAAATATCCAGAAGTTAAACTGCATATGTGGATCTTCCATCTCAGGCTTCTCAAGGATATACCATGGGATAAAAAGAAATACAAAGCTGTGTACAGCAAAGGGTAAATGATCAGATAAAACATAAAATTATGTTTGAATTTTAATGTACTGACTTTCTTGATACACAGAAATCCCAAAAAGTGCTACCCACAGCCCATTCCCCCTTCTTGAGTCAAAATGAGTGCAGTATTAGTATTTAGTAAGCATAAAAACCCAGGACTCAAGCAGGAAGAAGCAGAGCACAATATCCAAGCACAGGCCACCCATTGATTCATAAGTGTGAGTACCAAAGATACCCCAAAAAAAAAGTTGTATTGATAAAACAGAATTTTGATGAATACATATCAAGAACATGAGATCAAGAGATAACAGAAAATAATTATGTTTACTTGCTCCTAAAAATATTATATCAATGGTCATTAGTCTCAAGACTCTCACCCATTATACCATTTGTGGTGTTTCCCAGAGCATAAGGTGCATGATGAAAAATAGGGAGCCCGAGAAACTTAGATCAGATTAACATGATTGATGTGTATATGCAGAATTTTGACTATAAGCTTTTCTGAACAACAAAATAAGCTAATTCAAACAAAGGCAAATAATCAAACACATCTAGTGAGGGAAGCAAATCCCACAATACCCAGTGACATTCCTAACGTACAGATCAAAATCAACATCAGCATCCAACAGAAATGAAAAAAAATGTTTTCAAATATTCAACCATAGAGCTACCTGCAGGGTGCTATGTAATACAAGCTGGTAATAGGGTTTAGTGTCAAGCCCTTCTTTTGAAGAAGAACTTGAGTTAAAACCAGCCTCAATGCTTCAGCAACTATTCCAGTGACCTGATA